AACGATGAATCCGCCTTAACGCTTGTGTTACCCGTGAATAAAAATAAACTTGGATATAATTTTTTTTTTGGCTATGAGTACTACACATGCGGGCTGTTCAGGATATTGTGGAAATGGACTTGGATTTTCATTTGGAATTGCATTTGCAAATTTTATTTTAAGCTCTGTACTATAATGATGAATCCACATTAAATGTCACGCAAATGTTGATTTAATCGCCGCCTTATCACTTGCTTGAATCAATTTAAATTAGTTGGCGCTTTATTTTCTAATGTCGTCAATCCTTGACACGTTTTCGCAAGTGATAACTAATGCCTTGTGCCACTTCAAGAAAAACAGCATATTTATTGTTTATTAATATAATTACGTTGTTCGATGTATTAAATACATATTAAATTAGAAAGTCACTCGATTCTAAAAAATAAATAACCGCCTTTTTTTAAATTGTTGATGACATTCAAGGTATTAGGTTGAATCGTGCCAAGGCTAAATTTCTATTTATTACTTTTATTCTGGCTCAGCCTTGGTTGGAAACATTTATGCTTCTATCAGCAACAGTGTCGTTAGCATCAAGAATAATACAGTGCGGTAGTACTTGAGACACATGGGCAAAAAATATCGATGTGCACGTTAAAGGAGTTAAGCTGTAGTTGCCTACCGAATATTACAAACAGGATTTTCCTCGTGATCGCGGGGTCGATAGAGCAAGCATTCCGATCAACGTGTACGAGAACGCATCCGTTTAAGAAATTTTTGTGACACTTTTGCGCACAAAACTATTGAGAACGGGTTCCGAAAAATTATCGTAAAAGTATTACCTGCCGCTCTGTTTGTGGCAGCGTAACTCTCATTTTCATCATAGATTTTCAAAAGGTTTCGCGTAGTGTTTTCGACGGTGAAATCGTTTCTCAGACGGAAGATATTTCGATTCGTTTCGCTATGGACAAATTAATGAAAAAGGCAATGTTTTCGGTCTGTTCGATTATCGCGATAGTAGCGAATACGACAGTTGTTTCTACCCTAAATTTTGCAGTTACATACTATGTAGATTTGAACCAAACAGGGAAAGCTAAATAAAACCGATTAGAAAAGGATAGTTTAGGAATTTAAAGAATCTGAACCTGCAAAATACTTAAATGGGATGTTATCAATATATTCTTATAGTTTCGGAAGTTTTGATTGATCCTAGAAAATTATATTGACTTCAAACGAGAATAAATCATTTTCTTACGTGTTATTCCTTTGGGTAAAATAAACGCTCGATGCGGCATCTCTTAAAATTGTCGAAGACAGGGAAGATTCATGAATGATCATTTCTATACCAAATACTAAAATTTTAGTCGGTTTTTTTTTGATTTCGGATTTTTTTTTACTTGAACATATCGTTAGTATAGTATGGGAAGGGCGTAACACCGCTGAAATGCAAAAGAGGCATAACTAAAATGGTTAAACAGAGTTTACCCATCGAGAAATATGAATTTTCAAGAATTCTATACTATTTCTACGAAAAAATGTTTTTTCCCCATATAAAATACATGAAAACTTTGAGCGCTGTGAGCCACCTCTAAATCTTCTTATTGGCCTTTGTGCAGTTTAGTATTCAGGCTATTCCCACGTTTACAGGAGAACGATAATCCAAACACTTTTATTTTTCTCCATATAATTAAAGGCCACCCTGATGTACATACATATGTATGTATATAAGCACAATACACAAGGGATGGTATTAAATTTGAGAAACATTTTACAAAGACGAACTCCTGGCGGTTCAATCCTTGCGATATATCATATTCAAAGTCCATTCCATACACTATTGTCCATTTTTCTTGAAAGTTGGCTTCATATAACAGTTCTATTGGCAAAATTGAACTGCACTACATGGCTGCCTTAATTGTATGAGCACATGTGTATGTATATATGTACAGTGAATCATTAAAGTTTAGGTACAGAGAGTTTTTTGCAATATGGGCAAATGTTTTTTTTTTAATATTCTATCTCGCTAAATTTTTATAAAAAAATGGTTCATTCTACAACAAAAACCCCAAAATGATTTTTGAAAATTTGTCTCCATATAAAATAATGTTCCATAATTTTTTTATGTGGAAAAATTTGCCAAAAATCAATGGCTAAGCTACCTCAACTTGCACTTGCTTGTACTAAAATTGAAGAGGCCAAAAAACTGCCTACTCAATTTGTTTCTAAAGAGTGTAATTAAAAAGTGCAATATTTTAATGAAAATTTGAATTTTGCCCAAGGTTTGTAACTCTGATTTTTAGGGATTTTCTTGTAGATTACATCACATTTTTATAAAAAAAATAGCGAAAAATAAAATATTAAAAAACAAAGAAGCCAGTATTACAAAAAGCTCGCTGTACCTAAACTTTATTGATTGACTGACTGTATGTATGTATTTCAAATAATCCTCAGTTAAATATCATGGGTAAAGTGCTATCCAATTAATGTTTCCCTAATGCTGTAAACAATTAAAAATCACAAGAAATGTTTGTATATGTATTTGCATATCGTTACCTTCTTAATTCACAAAGGCCCCAACCTACACTTTTTTCAAAACTGTGCTTTTCACAGATTTTGGTAGAATGTATTAAAATACACCTTCAATTACATGCCACTTTTTAAAAAACCCTACCTGTTTTTGATTCTCTTTTTATAATTCGAATATTCACAACGGTGTCGTAAGTGTCGTATTGTTGTGTGTCGTAAATTTTAAACACCTAAAAAATATATTAAGGGGGTTCGCAAAGTACCATCAAAGTCATATTAGAAATTTTCGCAGTGTTAAAAACTAGTTGGTTGTGCTTTTAAATTTTATAAACAATGATTTAAGTGTTTTGCTTCCCTAGTAAAAAAAAAAAATGTTAGGACCTTTGTGAATTAGGAAGGAAACGATGTTATTTTTATTTTTGTACGAATTAAAAAAATTTGGTTTTTCTAAACGGAAATTTCAAAATTTCAACTCTCCAAAAATACGAATATGCCCTAATAGATGAAATTTTTTATTGAAAAACATGAAGGCATTCGTTTTTAGAGCACTGCATATCGATGGCTGAGTGGAAGATCGACCTCTCTCGGCAGCCAGTTCGAAAACGTCATATCTCAAAAAAAACCGAATTCTAATGTAGGGCGCTCTTCAAAAAAATTCTGAGATTGGGTGTTTTTCAATAAAATTCTGAAATAGGGATTTCTTCAATCAAATTTTGAAGTAGAGCTTTCTTTAAAAGTTTTCTGAGATAGGGCCTTTCCGAACTGGCTGCCGAGATAGGTCGATCTTCCACTCAGCCATCGATATGCAGTCGTTATTTCTGTTAATTGGAGTGGAATATTTCATTTAAAAGAATAAAATTGCAGGCTTACGAATCGAACTAAAGTCTGAAGCATGTTTTCAGGAGCCGAAAAAGCTTCGTTTCAATCCGCGAACTTTTGGCGCTAATATTAATTATAAGCACGCATGTTTATTAACAAATACTACATAGGATGTGTGTACATACAAACGTATTTATGCACATGTGTGTGCTTTTAAACATTTGAAGGCGATAACCTTTTAGTAACGCGATACCCCAATACCCCAATCACTTTATATTATTCTCACTGGTTTGCTGCTTACTCACTGAATAAATGATACTACTCTCAATCCAACTGTCTGTTTACGAAGAAAAGAGACAAATTGCAATCCCCCCTCGCACTGTGTAATGGATACTGTGATTCAGCATCTAAAGTTTGGCAGCTGCGCTTTAGAGTGAAATTCGTGAATGCGATTGTTGGTGGTGAAGTACCAAAGCGAAGGTCAGTCGCGCTATTCATTGTAGCAACAAACACGGTGGTGGAGAACGCAAACACTTTTCAAAGTGACCAGTTAGCCTTCCAGTTCACTGAGTAATTTGTGCAACAAGTAGCGCTTTTAGACGTTTGTCACATGTCACAATAAGTGCAATCAAAATTTGTATCACAAAGAATAAAAAAAGTAAAAAAAAAAAAGAAAACTGCAGTGCATTACTCGAATATTGTGACAAAGCGAAAATGGTAGTAGACTTGGAGAAGCGTACTTATCTGCTGGTGACGGGAGCATCTCGCGGCATTGGTCAACGTATGGCCGTGGACGTGTCTGCGAAATTGAAAGCTGGTTCTTTAATTGTGCTCTTGGCGCGTAGCGAACAGGGTTTGGCAAAAACCAAGGCCAGCATTACGGCGTTGGGCAACGATTTGAATGTAATCACTTTCTCGATTGACCTAAGCAGCGCCACGGCAACACAGTTCCAGGAATTACTTGCCAAATCAGTGGACGGCACAAAAGCCAGCAATTTCGAGCGCGCTTTCATCATACACAATGCCGGTTCTGTGGGTGATGTATCGAAAAGCGCCATAGACGTATCGGATATCACGGTCTGGCAGCAGTACTATCACATGAATGTATTCTCCGTGATCTCACTGAATTGTGAATTTTTCCGTGCATTCAATTGTTTGCCCAAAATTGTGGTAAATATCAGCTCAAAATGTGGCATTGAACCATATGCTTCAATGAGTTTCTATTGCTCTGGCAAAGCAGCTAGAAATATGTATTTTCGTGTACTAGCCACGGAGCAAGCTGATGAAGATGTGGTGGTTTTGAACTATGCGCCAGGTGCTATCGATACAGATATGACAGTATTAGTACAGCGTGAAAGCATTAATAAAGAATTGGCCGGCTTCTTTAAGATGCAAAGAGATACAAAAACAATGTTGACTACAGAACAAACAACGAAGAAATTCTTACTGGTGCTTGAGGCGCAAAAATTCAAATCGGGTGACCACGTTGACTATTGGGATGAGTGAGGAGGGTTCGCAGTTTGAGCGAAGAAGCATAATTTATATCTTAATATAATACCAAATAGCACCACCACTCTCAAAGTCTCAAACTTCAATCTGGAAATTTTACAAATATGATTAGTAAATCCTCTAAAACTGTTATTATCAATTCACTTATGTACGTAATGAATATTATTATGTGGAATAGGCAATATATTTAGCTGATCCACAAGGTTTTGTATTGTCCTATTTTGGAAAGTTTTTTACACGGTTAAATATATGTATGTATGTTTAGAGGATTCTAAACCACAACAGAGTTTTTTAATAGTGAGAAATTTATAATATTACTATTGTGATACTTTGCGAACTCCCTAAATATATTTTAAACCGTCAAGAAGTTTACGACATACAACAATACCACGCTAAAGACACCCTTGCGAATTCCGCAACTGATATTGAACTTCATACCAATGTATTATTATTAACAATTTGCATTTGTACAGATACATAATATGTACTATATGTTTTTTTAATTTTATATGGATACTTTTTATTACGCTACAAATTAATTTTTTGTTATAACTACATATTAGCAAAACTATTGCTAAATACTTTTTAGTTGATTAAAATTTTACCAACAACCATCAATATGCCATTACATATACTCACATCTTTGTGCGTTCGTGTAAAAATTTTGTTGCTTCCATAAGCGCTAGTAACTAAACAAAGGGTGCATTCCAAAACGACAAAATACAAAGCATCAGTTTCTTTTTTTCCAACCCGCACTGGAAGAAAAAGTCTAACCTGCGCAACCTAGTTGAAAACGTGGTTGCCCACATTTTAGCATTACAATCTACTGAAATTTTGAAATAAAAGAAACTGATACTTTGTATTTTGACGTTTCGGAATGCACCCAAACTCACTTCTCTTAATCTACCAAAATATCTCTCCATTTAAAAGAAATCCGATGCTCGCAATCGTTTCGTAGGAATTTTCAATAGATCATCAGTGAGTGTTGACTTTCCGCTACTGATCTGTTTTGGTGTGTTAGGTGCTGAGGTGCTTGTGCTTGCACTACCCGCTGGCGTTTTGCGGGAATTCATAGCTTTCGATGTTGGTTTGGCCCTCCGCATTACTGCTCCAGGTGTCCGCTGCGGCGTAGGCATAATTGGTGTTGTGCCTATGCCTAATTTAGAGGTTGCTAAACGTCTTGCCGCCGGTGACATTGAAGCCAAGCGTTCCATGTTCGAACGTATGAAAGGCGAGTTGATATTCTTACGTGCTGTGTCAGCCGCCCTTTGCTTCTGTGCACGCATCTTTTCACCCACTTTTT